GTTTTTCTTGTCAGTGGGACAATTTTTTGGAATTTTTCAATGTGGTTCAAATCACAACTAAAAGGGCTTTTATATGATATATCATTCAATCCAGTCTGATGATTATTTGTGGTACCTAATTTTGCTTGGAAAACAAAAGGAAAAAAACTAAAACATATCCGAATACAAAGTTCCGCCCCATTATCAATGGTCGGAACGCCTGTCGGAACAATAAACTAAAACGCACCCGAATACAAGTTTCCTCCTTATTTTCAATGGTCGGAACAAATACCTTAAAAACTTAGTTTGTGACTAATTGATAATTAAAAACATTCCAGTTTGATGATTACAGTTCATATTCAACCGGATAGCAATTATTTTCTACGACAATGCACTTGACTCCCCACGAATTTTTAAGGTAGTCAAAATTGCCTCGAAAAACCTGCTCATCATCACGGTTCATTCTCATTTTGGATGAAAAATTATCAACAAAGTACTTCAAGCGTTTTGCTTTGGGTAGCTGTGACTTCATGTAAAGAATTCTTGCTGACTCCTGGCTGCTTGTATGCTGATTTTATGCTTCTTCATCTAGTATAGAGAGAGAAAGATACGTTGAGCGAACTTAAATTATGCATTTTACACTCTAAATCAACTTCAATAATTGGAAAATGTCAAAATGAGTGTTTAAAGGCCGTATCACAGCACACAGGCGGTTAAGCTATAATGGTTGTAGGTATACAAGTTTTCAGCCATAATTAACAGCGCAATTGATCGGGACTACAATGGCACCTGTTGTGGAGTGAGAAATAAATATATCATAATCATAATAATATTAATAATAATCATAATCATAATAATCATAATAATAAAAATCATAATAATAATCATAATCACAATAATAATAATCATAATCATAATAATAATCATAACAATCATAATGATAATAATAATCATAATAATCATAATAATAATCATAATAATCATAATCATAATAATCATAGTAATCATGATAATAATCATAATAATGATAATAATAATCAAAATAATAATCAAATTAATCATAATATTACTCATAATAATCATAATAATAATCATAATAATAATCATGATAATAAAAATAATAACAATAATAATCATAAAAAAATCATAATAATAATCATAATAATAATCATATTAATCATAATAATATTCATAATAATAATCATAATAATCAGAATCATAATCATAATATAAAAAAAAATAACAATAATAATCATAAAAATAATCATAATAATCATCATAATAATAAATATAATATTGATACTTTGCTAGATACATTATACATCATATTTTGCTAGATACTTATTGATACTTTGCTAGATACTTTGCTAGATACAAAATACATCACGTTTACTTTATTTAGTGAGTGAGACTAAGCTCATAACAGAAAAAAAATGGGGAAGTTTAATAAAAAGTTCACAGTTTCGCCCTGACAAGAATACTCGTGTTTTTTCCAACTCTCCAAAACTTTATATGTGACAAAAAAAAACGTTTTCCAAAATGTATATGTTATTTTTAGCATTGGAATATTTAGTGTTTTGATGGCGCGATTTCTCATGGAAACTCAATTGGTGCTACTTTCTAATTTTACTCTGAGGCCATTGATATATTTTTATCTAACAAATTTTTTTTGCGCAAAAAGTACTAAAATTGATTTTTGCGTTGGTACCATGTATAAGCATTCTCTTGGTGTTCATCAAAATGATCAAAAATTTGATAGTCTGGATAACTGCATTTCAAAAAAAAAATTTATAAACTGAACTATATTGCTAATTACACCTGTTTTACAGTCTTCCTAAAATAAACTCTGAGGAAACTTTCGGTTTTAAATTTATTTTCGATAGTTATCGAATTTTTCTTGAGTGTTTCAGATTTCAAGTGTTCTCGATCTATGTTTATTTTGTGCTTGAGCTGAGTTTCGACTGTAAGCGACCAATATTTCGACTCTGCTTGGCTCCTTTTTCAGCAGTGACCGAAATTTTTTTCTTCTAAGTTTTTTATCGACCTAGCTTTGGACTGCTCGACTTGTCTTGTTTGTGCTCTAACCGTGTTTTAACTATGCTTGACTTTTTTTCAAATTTTTTCGACCTATTTCTGACGTTTTGAGTTTGAAATATTTAGTGAAACAAAACTTAACTCACAATGATTGCGCCCGAGCCCTGAGGCTCATCAAGGCGAGACCCTGGAAAACCAAAAACACGTGGCTCAAGATACTAATAATTATGAGAAAATGATTTCATGTAAATTGGATTTTTCTATCGGGAAACAATACCTAATTTTATACCTGTATTTGTTATTTTCGCCTGTCTTTAATTGTTTTAAATGGCCAGTTAGCACTTTGTTTGAAGATAAAAACTTGTAAAATTTTTTAACTACTGGCTGACCCAACCTGTGCAACCCATTTGTTATTACTACTAGTAAATTGAAAATTTTTGATTCACAAGCTGATGTGCATCTCCTTTGTTAAAATTCTTCTTTGTTCAGAGAACTAAGCGGAGATTTTTTCAAGCAACTGATCAATAGTTTCTTAATGTTTTTTTTCTAGAAAAATTTCGGTGACGGTTTCAGTTATGTAATGTTGAAAAATTGGCATCATGGTTTTGAACTTTTGCTCAGATAATATAGTTCTTAATATATGTTTTTGCATCAACAAATTTTTTTGCACAACGGTTTAATGTTGAACAGCCATAAGCTAGCCATACGAAATAACAGGCTCAGCATAAACCATATAAAATCTCAAGAAGAGTTTTCGAGAAAAAAATCTTCCTTGCTTGATATAATAAACCATTATAACGAGCTCATTTTCTGCAATTAGTATCAACATGCCGATGAAAAGTCAAATTTTTGTCCACGACTACGCCCAAATATTTGAAATTACCTGCAAATTCCGTCTTTTTTCATTTTCCTCCGAGAGATACTTCGCAATTTTTTTCCGACCAAAATTAGCTGCCTGACTGTTTTCGATTTTGATTCTATTGGCTTTGCAGTACAGGTCTACAGTTTGAACTTTTTCTTTGTACTCGTGTACTGCGCTTAAATTTTTATTAGTGCAAAACAGCGTTGTGTCACCCGCAAAAAAACACATATTTTCGTTTTTTCAATTCCTAGATTGGTCATTTATTATTTGCAGGAACAGCAGCGGCTCAAGTACATAACCCCGCGGAACGCTGTATTTTATCTGTAGCATAATCGAAATCTTTCCAATTGAAGATAATTATTGATAACGATTAGGTAAATATGATTTGATTAGATTGTAACTTATGCCACAAAAGCCAATTTTTTCTAGCCTTTTCATCAGAATAGCGCGATTGATAGTTTGAAACGTTTTTTTTTGGTAATCTATAAAACCAGCCATTCTATTTTTTAATCTATAAAACAAGCATTCCTGTGTTTTTCGAACCTTTGCATGATCGCATTTTTTTTTCTTGCAGTAGTGATAGCGTAGATACATGAACAATTTTCCAGAAACTAAATTGTTCTGCTGCAAGGATGTTATATTTATTTATAAAACTCAAGAAACGATTAGAAATTATTTTTTCGATGACTTTGTTTCTTGGTGAAAACAGACTAATTGGTCTAAAATTGCATGGGTCCTCGTAAAAACCCTTCTTATGAAAAGGTAGAGTTTAAGCTAATTCGAACATACATGTCTGGAAAGTTTTGATAGAGTAACAGATGATTGAACAAATCAGCTATATGATAGCTAATTACCTCAGCAGATAATTTTTTCTTTTTATTTCTTAATCCACCATGATCACTAGACGAAATGTTTTAAAGAGTTTCGATAACTTTCAGTATTTCATCATGTTATGCGGGTAGAGAAAAATAGAAGTTTTGTTTTGTTCAACTCTAAAACATTTATTGTTCTGATAATCTTGCATGTTAGCCAGGTTTTCTCCTATGTCAACAAAAAACTGGTTGAATTTATTCAAATCTATTGGAGAAGGTTTTGAATGACTTTGCAGGTTTTGAATGACTTTTGAATTCAATCAAATCTATCGGAAAAAGTTTTGTGTAGAACTTGCCCTAGATTTCAGATTAATTCTCGACTGATGATTTTCAGTCGCAAAATTGCACCCGTTCTATTATCAAAATCAGAACACAAATCTATAGCACCTCGGTTACAAATATACAACAAGAATAGCCGATTTCTGTGCAAAGAGCCTAGAATGTTTTGACAACAGTTTTTTTTTCAAATTGATGTCGTTTTTTTAAATAGAACTTTGGAATATGTCAGAGTCATAGTAAAATAGGTCAATTGAAAACTGTTTTTTGTAGAAAAATGACTAGAAGTTTGAGATTTCAAGTTTTTTATTACCAAAAATGCGCTAAAAACTCCAAAAACTACCTTTATTTGAAAAAAACTAAGTTTTCACGGCTTAAGTTGTGCTCAATTATGCTATTGTAAGCCTACACGGTCTTTTTATTAGCTCGAACGTAGACCAAAAATCAAAAATATCAAACCGGTTTTTCTCAACAAAAAAATTGGAAACATTTTTATGCCGTTAACCCAGTCCGATCATTATTTGTGTTTCCTGATTTTGCGTGGAAAACAAAAAGCAGAATGGTCGGAACAAAAATGGTGCACCAAATTACTTTCGATATAAAATGTGGAAAAATTATCTGAAGTCACATTGATTGACTTCCATGGCTTAAATAAAAGCAGAAGTCGACCTGACACGAGTGACCTTTTTGCTGACAAAACAAAAATTGAAACAAAAACAAAAAAACTAAGACTTCCAAGAAAATATATACAAATTATATACTGAAGAGCAAAAGTAATTGCAAATTCAAAAACTTATTTGATCTTGTTCAAGGTTCAGTTGATCGCGATCAGGACTGTTTTGCCTGAACTGGAGATAATTTTTTGATAATTCGAAAGCTTAAGCAATTGCTATACAAATTTCAAAAATTAACTGTCTTGCGTATAAAAGTGTTAACTTTTTACAACACCTTCATCTCAACTTCGATTCTGTCATATGATGACCAGGGTCAAGTTCTGCGACTTCAGCCGGACAGAAAACGGCTGCGTAAAGGGGATGGCGCGACCGATAATTCGCAACATCACAGGGGCTTTTGAGCCGCGAAGATCGCGTAAGGTCCAGAAAAATGCTACTGATCCAAACTGCTCTCGACTGATTTGTTTCATTTATGAGCAACACTGTTTTAAATTGAACTTTGGCACGAGTTTTCTTTTACCTGTAATGTAAGACGGAACTTGCAATTACTTTTGATCAGTTAGGAAAATAAAAACTCTACAAAAAAGCAGAAAACCAATTGCGGCCGCCATAATAATAATCATAACAATAATCATAATAATAACAATAATCATAATAATCATAATCATAATCATAATAATAATAATAATCATAATATTAATAATCATAATAATCATGATAATAATCATAATAATAATAATCATAATAATCATAATCATAATCATAATATAAAAAATAATAACCGTAATAATCATAAAAATAATCATAATACTCATCATAATAATAAATATAATATTGATATTTTGCTAGATACAATATACATCACATTTTGCTAGATACTTATTGACACTTTGCTAGATACAAAATACATCACGTTTACTTTATTTAGTGAGTGAGACTAAGCTCACAGCAGAAAAAAAATGAGGAAGTTTATTAAAAAGTTCACAGTTTCGCCCTGATAAGAATACTCATGTTTTTTCCAACTCTCCAAAATTTTATATGTGACAAAAAAAACCGTTTTCCAAAAAGTATATGTTATTTTTAGCATTGGAATATTTAGTGTTTTGATGGCGCGATTTCTCATGGAAACTCAATTGGTGCTACTTTCTAATTTTACTCTGAGGCCATTGATATATTTTTATCTAACAAATTTTTTTTGCGCAAAAAGTACTAAAATTGATTTTTGCGTTGGTACCATGTATAAGTATTCTCTTGGTGTTCATCAAAATGATCAAAAATTTGATAGTCTGGATAACTGCATTTCAAAAAAAAACTTATAAACTGAACTATATTGCTAATTGCACCTGTTTTACAGTCTTCCTAAAATGAACTCTGAGGAAACTTTCGGTTTTAAATTTATTTTCGATAGTTATCGAATTTTTCTTGAGTGTTTCAGGTTTCAAGTGTTCTCGATCTATGTTTATTTTGTGCTTGAGCTGAGTTTCGACTGTAAGCGACCAATATTTCGACTCTGCTCGGCTCCTTTTTCAGCAGTGACCAAAATTTTTTTCTTCTAAGTTTTTTATCGACCTAGCTTTGGACTGCTCGACTTGTCTTGTTTGTGCTCTAACCGTGTTTTAACTATGCTTGACTTTTTTTCAAATTTTTTCGACCTATTTCTGACGTTTTGAATTTGAAATATTTAGTGAAACAAAACTTAACTCACAATGATTGCGCCCGAGCCCTGAGGCTCATCAAGGCGAGACCCTGGAAAACCAAAAACACGAGGCTCAAGATACTAATAATTATGAGAAAATGATTTCATGTAAATTGGATTTTTCTATCGGGAAACAATACTTAATTTTATACCTGTATTTGTTATTTTCGCCTGTCTTTAATTGTTTTAAATGGCCAGTTAGCACTTTGTTTGAAGATAAAAACTTGTAAAATTTTTTAACTACTGGCTGACCCAACCTGTGCAACCCATTTGTTATTACTACTAGTAAATTGAAAATTTTTGATTCACAAGCTGATGTGCATCTCCTTTGTTAAAATTCTTCTTTGTTCAGAGAACTAAGCGGAGATTTTTTCAAGCAACTGATCAATAGTTTCTTAATGTTTTTTTCTAGAAAAATTTCGGTGACGGTTTCAGTTATGTAATGTTGAAAAATTGGCATCATGGTTTTGAACTTTCGCTCAGATAATATAGTTCTTAATATATGTTTTTGCATCAACAAATTTTTTTTGCACAACGGTTTAATGTTGAATGGTGAACAGCCATAAGCTAGCCATACGAAATAACAGGCTCAGCATAAACCATAAACCATATAAAATCTCAAGAGGACTTTTCGAGAAAAAATCTTCCTTGCTTGATATAATAAACCATTAAAACGAGCTCATTTTCTGCAATTAGTATCAACATGCCGATGAAAAGTCAAATTTTTGTCTATGACTACGCCCAAATATTTGAAATTACCTGCAAATTCCGTCTTTTTTCATTTTCCTCTGAGAGATACTTCGCAATTTTTTTCCGACCAAAATTAGCTGCCTGACTGTTTTCGATTTTGATTCTATTGGCTTTGCAGTACAGGTCTACAGTTTGAACTTTTTCTTTGTACTCGTGTACTGCGCTTAAATTTTTATTAGTGCAAAACAGCGTTGTGTCACCCGCGAAAAAACACATTTTTTCGTTTTTTCAATTCCTAGATTGGTCATTTATTATTTGCAGGAACAGCAGCGGCTCAAGTACATAGCCCCGCGGAACGCTGTATTTTATCTGTAGGATAATCGAAATCTTTCCAATTGAAGATAATTATTGATAACGATTAGATAAATATGATTTTATTAGATTGTAACTTATACCACAAAAGCCAAATTTTTCTAGCCTTTTCATCAGAATAGCGCGATTGATAGTTTAAAACGTTTTTTTTGGTAATCTATAAAACAAGCCATTCTATTTTTTAATCTATAAAACAAGCATTCCTGTGTTTTTCGAACCTTTGCATGATCGCATATTTTTTCTTGCAGTAGTGATAGCGTAGATACATGAACAATTTTCCAGAAACTAAATTGTTCTGCTGTAAGGATGTTATATTTATTTATAAAACTCAAGAAACGATTAGAAATCATTTTTTCGATGACTTTGTTTCTTGGTGAAAACAGACTAATTGGTCTAAGACTGCATGGGTCCTCGTAAGAACCCTTCTTATGAAAAGGTAGAGTTTAAGCTATTTTGAACATACATGTCTGGAAAGTTTTGATAGAGTAACAGATGATTGAACAAATCAGCTATATGATAGCTAATTACCTCAGCAGATAATTTTTTCTTTTTATTTCTTAATCCACCATGATCACTAGACGAAATGTTTTAAAGAGTTTCGATAACTTTCAGTATTTCATCATGTTATGCGGGTAGAGAAAAATAGAAGTTTTGTTCTGTTCAACTCTAAAACATTTAATGTTCTGATAATCTTGCATGTTAGCCAGGTTTTCTCCTATGTCAACAAAAAACTGGTTGAATTTATTCAAATCTATTGGAAAAGGTTTTGAATGACTTTGCAGGTTTTGAATGACTTTTGAATTCAATCAAATCTATCGGAAAAAGTTTTGTGTAGAACTTGCCCTAGATTTCAGATTAATTCTCGACTGATGATTTTCAGTCGCAAAATTGCACCCGTTCTATTTTCAAAATCAGAACACAAATCTATAGCACCTCGGTTACAAATATACAACAAGAATAGCCGATTTCTGTGCAAAGAGCCTAGAATGTTTTGACAACAGTTTTTTTTCAAATTGATGTCGTTTTTTAAATAGAACTTTGGAATATGTCAGAGTCATAGTAAAATAGGTCAATTGAAAACTGTTTTTTGAAGAAAAATGACTAGAAGTTTGAGATTTCAAGTTTTTGATTACCAAAATTGCGCTAAAAACTCCAAAAACTACCTTTATTTGAAAAAAACTAAGTTTTCACGGCTTAAGTTGCGCTCAATTATGCTATTGTAAGCCTACACAGTCATTTTATTAGCTCGAACGTAGACCAAAAATCGAAAATTTCAAACCGGTTTTTCTCAACACAAAAATTGGAAACTTTTTTATGCCGTTAACCCAGTCCGATCATTATTTGTGTTACCTGATTTTGCGTGGAAAACAAAAAGCAGAAGCAAAAAAACTAAAACAACCCGAATACAAAGTTCCTCCCCATTTTCATGGTCCGAACAAAAATGGTGCACCAAATTACTTTCGATATAAAATATGGAAAAATATCTGAAGTCACAGTGATTGACTTCCATGGCTTAAATAAAAGCAGAAGTCGACCCTGACACGAGTGACCTTTTTGCTGACAAAACAAAAATTGAAACAAAAACAAAAAAACTAAGACTTCCAAGAAAAGATATACAAATTATATACTGAAGAGCAAAAGTAATTGCAAATTCAAAAACTTATTTGATCTTGTTCAAGGTTCAGTTGATCGCGATCAGGACTGTTTTGCCTGAACTGGAGATAATTTTTTGATAATTCGAAAGCTTAAGCAATTGCTATACAAATTTCAAAAATTAACTGTCTTGCGTATAAAAGTGTTAACTTTTTACAACACCTTCATCTCAACTTCGATTCTGTCATATGATGACCAGGGTCAAGTTCTGCGACTTCAGCCGGACAGAAAACGGCTGCGTAAAGGGGATGGCGCGACCGATAATTCGCAACATCACAGGGGCTTTTGAGCCGCGAAGATCGCGTAAGGTCCAGAAAAATGCTACAGATCCAAATTGCTCTCGACTGATTTATTTCATTTATGAGCAAAACTAGTGTTTTAAATTGAACCTTGGCGTGACTTATTCACCTGTAATGTAACATGGAAATTGCTATTACTTTTGCTCAATTAGGAAAATAAAAACTCTACAAAAAAGCAGAAAACCAATTGCCGCCGCCATGATTTTGAGGTGTGCTTCTGTCTTTGTTATCTTGCTGATGCCCAAAGTAGCAGTTTGTAGAAACTTTGAGCAGACGAGCGGTAATGACTACTATCATGGGCAAGACGAAATAGCACCGAGGGGACACCATCACCAAAAAAGGGAATTTAGTTTCTACGTTGAAGTCTCTTCTGTGGGTGTGAGAAATAAGACATGTGCTGGGGTATTCGTGGACCAGTTTTGGATTTTGACAGCAGCAGAATGCATTCGAGGTCACGTTGGTAAGAAAAGTTTGATGAATCCGAAACAAAAAAAAACACATAAATAATAGTCACGTTGAAAAGGAGCCCGATCAGGGAGCAAAACCAACATCAAGAGCTAGATGTCTGAACGAGCAGTTAATAGGAGGTTTTTCTGAGATAAACATGTTTTCAGCTTTTTAATGGCGTGAAATAAAAATCATATGGGTTAGTTTCTCAAAAAGTAAATTATGAGAATTACACAATTACTTCTCGCTATGCTTTTTGAACGCTTTTTTCATGCTACGTAGTGCAATAGTCGGATCAATTGAGCAATCCCCCCATTCTCGCGTGGGGGGAGAAAGCTCAATAGGTACTTGAGACATGTTTATAACCACTTGAAAATAGTTTGAATGACCTGAAAGCATAAAACATAGTTTCCAACGACTGTGGAAAGCCAAATATTACGATAAAAAAAGCTCTAAAGTTTCATTTAGATTGAAAAAAGAATCAATAAAACAGGCATAAAAAGCGACTTTTTTCTTTCTTAAAATGACAAAAAGTTTTTTGCGTACAAAATTAAGGTGCTGCGGAGAACCGTTTTTGCTATTCAGATACAAGGCTAGAGCACCAACCCTGGTAAATCGCTTTCTTCGATGAGGCTATGGTCGCCTAAACAAAATTTTGCAAAAAAAAAAAATTTTTTTTCATAAATTTCGATTTTTTTTCAAAGTTTTTCTTGATACTTGTTCAAGATAAACTTCAATCGGTCAATTGATTGCGTGCTATAAACACACCATCCATCTACTTGCGTTTGCTGACGTCTTTTTGAAGAGGTTATTCATTTTTGCTGGGGGGAGATAGCTCAATTGGTCATTACGGGGGGGAGATTGCTCAATTGATCCCAATAGTCTCTTTCTTTTTTTTCTTCTTTTTCCAAGTTTCGAATGAAGTGACGAAACGTTTTTGTGTGGCAATTTTTTGTCAGACAAATTCTCTGATTATTTAACTTGCTACTTTGAGCTGATTTTATAACATTATCTAAGCAAAAGTTTTTGAGATCCTGAAGTCAAAATAAAACATTATTTCACTTGTGATTTTTTTGTAAAGTTATGACAATTTGAACATACCGCGTTTGAATATAACGCGCAATATATTTTGTCCTCATTAAAGCATGAGAGGCGAAAGAAACAATTTCAAATTCGATATAAGAAAGCGACCTGCAATTAATATCATGTCAACAGACAAAAAATTTACATTTTGTACCTAACATAGCCTGCGAAGGTATATAAAAAAGAAAGTAGTTGAGTCATTTAACGTTGTGTATCAGCAGTACAATCAAAAACAATCACCCCCCCCCCCCCCAAAAAAAAAGCAAATTAGGAAAATAAAAAATAAATTTTCCTGAACTAACTTTGAGCATAGCCTCGAACTAATCAAATGTAACCATTTCATTACAGAAAATTGATATAGAACATTAATTTAGGTAATTAACAGTATGCAAAAGCAATCCCTCAAAAAATAGAAAATTAAAACAATTTTATTGGCGCGTTTCTATGAATTGCATATTTTATGCTGAATTACTTTTCAGATTAATTTCCTACTTGGGGAATGTAACCTGTGGAAAATCACTTAGGGGTGGAGATTGTACGGCCAATGAAAAATTTCTTTTCTTCATTTTTTTCAGTCTTTTACAAAATATTTTTTTGAAGCAAAAATATTTTCATTGACTTAAAAGGCTATCAAAATATTCAGGGTTATGCCCTTATACAAAAAGTTTTGTTGTTCGGACTATTTTGGGGGAAGAATAGACGGAGTATATGTGCTCGGAGTGGATTTGTTCTGCAGACAAACTTCTATTTTTAACTAGCCATTTTCGACGGAATTATTTGATATCATGCGAAAAGTATTAGTCTTGACCTCAAATTTGAAACAATATTTCACCTCTGCAGAGTGTTTGTAAAGTTATGAGGGAACTAGTGCGCTAAATATCTTTTGCGATATTAACACGTAAATTGAGATTTAACCCGCCTTGGAATTCGTTCCTTGTATAATTGAGGCTTGCTATTTAGTTTTTTAAAAATTTAGCTATCTGCAAAAATTTTTGAGTTGAAATTACTGGAACAATTTACCCATTTTTTCTCTCTTTTTTTCAAAGATTCATCAATTTAATAAAAAATAACATTGCTAAATGGATCTTGAAAGGAAATCGGAGCAATCAGGGCTTCACACAGATACGCGCAGGTTTTTTTTTAACTTCCAACAGACCTCATGCTTAAATACTTGTTTTAGTGGAGCAAAAAATGATACAGACGTGCACTGGAAAAGCTAGGATAGTATGATGTCAAGTAATATATAAATTTTTGCAATTAGCATGCTTTCCATTAAAAAAAGAGTTGACTGCATTATATTCTCTAAATTTTATTCGATGTTATACAAACTCATTTTCCAATGCAAATTTTAGTCCATACTTTTAATAAGCTATCTATAAAGTTTATAAATAAAATAATTTTATTTAAATTCTTTATATACATAATAAAAAACAGTTTTATAGTCAAGTTTAGAAAAAAATTATGTAAACACAAAAAAATGATCATATAGGTCAGCCTTACTGCTGGAAAGCTATCGGCTCCAAATTATAGGTTACGGTTGATCAATATAGGATAAATTTTAAATAGTACAAGTTTGGGGCTCAATATTTTTAATTTGTTTTTGATGAAGTTTTCTATAAAAAAAAAACGAAAGTTTCAATTTTTTCACTCCTATTCTTGTTATAAAACTAAAGAGGTCCAAGGAGATTAGTAAGTACGGTTGGTTTTTGAATTTTTAAAATTATCTAAAAAGGTTCTATATTTACGACTCGATGCACGTAGTTTTAAGAAACGACGAGTCGACGAATGCTTTATTTTTTTTTCAGGAAAAGTCAAATGAAAATGAAAATTTGTTCAGGCTCATTTGTACTTTTTCACGGTTTGATTTTTGATTTCCTTTTAAATTCAGCGCAGTTTCTTTGTTGAAAGAAATTCCACCATCGAGGGGCGAAAGTGTAAAGGTCAAAAGAAGGTGATGACTTCTAGTTTTGAAAATGGAACTTAGTTTTCAGATTTCCCTGTTGAATAAAAAAATACCTATTGATCCAGTTTTCTCAATTGGGTTTATTTTATCACAAAGTTTCAATCATAAATTCTTCTAGAAATTCAAAGAGCTTCAAGGTCATTTTTTTATTCAAAAGCTGGGTTTTTTTTTAAAAAACAAAAAGTATTTTTTTATTTACTTGCGTTCACCGACTCTTATTTGCGATTATTGGCTATGTATATTTTTTTGTTTTTCATTTTTTCTTTCTGTCTAACATTTGCGAATGTTCTTTGTTTTTTAGGAAGTTTGGAAGCTCGATATCTAGGAAGGACAATTTATGTTGGTGAGGCAAATTTGTTTTGCTATAGGTAAGTTAATTTCCAAATCTTTTCAAAAAAAAATCAAGCTTTTTAAAATAAATTGTTTAATTTTGTAGAGAATCGAACCTTTATCGTCTTATTTCGTTTCGGTTTCCATTGCATGGACCAGATATTGCGTTGTCAGTTTGCAGCAAGAAAAGCTACGGAAAAGAACCCTTAGCTCTTTATGGGACTATGCTTGGCGACAGATCTAAGCAAATAAAAGACTTTTCAATTAGCGAAAAAGCTGGGAAAAAATATGATCAAATTTGCTTTGAATTTGAAGATGATTTTGAAGAGAGATCTGAAAATCTCATTTTGGGTTCGCCTCTGTATGTTCTCGACAAGGACCTGAAAACACCGAAGTGCCTGTATGGTCTTTTTGGAGTCTATAGGGAACACGAATCGGGTTGCGGGCAGAACAAAATCGCCGGCGGTTTGTATGAGATCAAAAAATGGGTTGAAAATAAAATTCTGGTACCACATGATTCGACGGACTTGTGCTTGATAACCCCTGCTACTGCTTCAACGACGCCATTGCAAACGACTGCAAATGAAACAATTTCAGATCACACAAGGAGTCAGGCTAGCTCGTTGGAGACAAACCACAGCTCATATTCACATATCACGCATACGCCAAAAACGACAATAATGAATGACATTTTCTCCGATTCTACAAAAGATCAGGCTAGCTCAACCACAGAAAAAGACAGCTCTGTTTCAGATGTCACATTTACAACAGAAACGACAACAAGTGAAACTTCTACAAATACACCAGCCAGTCAGACTAGCTTAACGACAGAAAATGACAGCTCAGATTCAGATGTCACATATACGACAGAGAAGGCAACACCAAATGAATTTCTTTCAAATACAACAACCAGTCAGACTAGCTTAACGACAGAAAATGACAGCTCAGCTTCGGATGTCGCAAATACTTCAGAGACGGTAATAACGAAAGAAAATGCTTCATTGACAACAACAGAGACGTCAGAGACGACAACAACGAAAGAAAATGTTTCATTTACAACGACAAATCAGACAAGCTCAACGCCAGAAAATGACTATTCAAGTTCAGATGGGACGTATACATCAGAGACGACAACATCAAATGAAGTTCCTTCAAATACAACAATTAGTCAGACTAGCTTGACGACAGAAAATGACAGCTCAGCTTCGGATGTCGCGAATACTTCAGAGACGACAACATCAAATGAAGTTCCTTCAAATACAACAACCAGTCAGACTAGCTTAACGACAGAAAATGACAGCTCAGCTTCGGATGTCGCGAATACTTCAGAGACGTTAATAACGAAAGAAAATGCTTCATTGACAACAACAGAGACGTCAGAGACGACAACAACGAAAGAAAATGTTTCATTTACAACGACAAATCAGACAAGCTCAACGCCAGATAGAGACTATTCTAATTCAGATGTGACGTATACATCAAAGACGACAACATCAAATGAATTTCCTTCAAATACAACAATTAGTCAGACTAGCTTGACGACAGAAAATGACAGCTCACTTTCGGATGTCGCGAATACTTCAGAGACGGTAATAACGAAAGAAAATGCTTCATTGACAACAACAGAGACATCAGAGACGACAACAACGAAAGAAAATGTTTCATTTACAACGACAAATCAGACAAGCTCAACGCCAGAAAATGACTATTCAAGTTCAGATGAGACGTATACATCAGAGACGACAACATCAAATGAAGTTCCTTCAAATACAACAATTAGTCAGACTAGCTTGACGACAGAAAATGACAGCTCAGCTTCGGATGTCGCGAATACTTCAGAGACGACAACGACGAGAAAAATTTCTTCCAAAACAACAGCTATTCAGACTAGCTTAACAACGACAGAAAATGACAGCTCAGGAGTCACAAATACGTCAGAGACGATAACAACGAAAGAAAATACTTCATTTACAACAACAAGTCAGACAAGCTCAGCGCCAGAAAATGACTATTCCAATTCCGATGTGACGTATACCTCAGAGACGACAATATCAATTGAAGTTCCTTCAAATACAACAATTAGTCAGACTAGCTTGACAACAGAAAATGACAGCTCAGCTTCGGATGTCGCGAATACTTCAGAAACGACAGAAATTTCTTCAAATACATTAAGTATTCAGACTAGCTTAACGACAGAAAATGACAGCTCGGGAGTCACAAATACGCCAGAGACGACAACAACGAAAGAAAATACTTCATTTACGACGACAATTCAGACAAGTTCAACGCCAGAAAATGACTATTCAAATTCAGATGGGACGTATACATCAGAGACGTCAACATCAAATGAAGTTCCTTTAAATAGATCAAGTAGTCAAACTAGCTTGACGACAGAAAGTGACAGCTCAGCTTCGGGTGTCACGATTACTTCAGAGATGATGACAACAAAAGAAACTGCTTCAAACACAACAAGAAGTCAAGCTAGCTCAACGACAGAAAATGACAACTCAAACTCAAATGTGACGTATACGTCAGAGACGACAGCATCAATTGAAACTCTTTCAAATACAACAACTAGTCAGACTAGCTTAACGACAGAAAATGACAGCTCAGCTTCGGTTGTCACAAATACGTCACAAACAACAAAACCGAAAGAAACTGCTTCAAGCACAACAACAACTCAAGCTAGCTCAACGACAGAAAATGATCATTCAAACTCAGTTTGGACTTATACGTCAGAGACGACAAAATCAAATGAAATTCCTTCAAATACAACAATAACTAGTCAGTCTATCTTAACGACAGAGCTTGACAGCTCACATTCAGCTGTCACGTATACGTCAAAGAGGACAACAACGAAAGAAACTCCTGAAAATAATACAACAACAAGGCAAGCTAGGTCAACGTCAGAAACTGAGAGCTCAGATTCAAATGTCTTTTTTACCCCAAACGCAACAACAACTCATGAAACTGTCTCCTCTAACACAAACAGTCAAGCTAATACTTTGACAGATCATGACACCTTAGATTTAAACGTCACTCATACATCAAAAAGTCCAAAAACGGATGAAAATGCTTTCAATATCACAACAAGTCAGAGTGGTTCTGTGACGGAATATGATAACTTAAATTCCAATTCCACATTTATCTCAATAAGAACGACAACAGATGAAATTTTTTCAGGTAAAACAACAACTCAGGTAAAAAATTCAATGCATCCAACGATTGACATTGGTTCATTGTCAATTTCTCAATTATCGGAGGCAACTACAGAAACCGCGAAAGAAATAATGACATCAGCAGTAAATAATTCAAAGTCAACAGAAAGTGATAAAGAAACGTTATCGAAAACTACGACAAAACATTTTAGTTCTACCGTGAGCAAGACTGATGTGACAGAATCGATTCCAGATATTCAAACCACTGAGTCGAACAAAGTATTCACAACAGAGTTGACAGCAACTGGTGGGAATATTACCGAGTTTACGACTAAGGCGGCAATGACAAATTATAAAACAAACTCAACTGAGACTAAATCACAGTTAGAGTCGACTTCCTCCGCCGCGGGAAAACTGGAAACGACGGCAGACGAGTTTGTTTTGTCCACGATTACATCAAACACGACTGAAGATGTGCCGGAGTGGTCACCTACTATGCCTGCCGACGAATCTTCAGGAACAACGTCCCCCGGGTAGAGAAGTCGCCACCATCTGCTTGCTTGATTTTTGTTGGTTTTGATAAGTTCTTAAGTGTTACTCATCCAACCAATCTGCTGCAAGATAGGGGAAAAAAAGGAATCGGGTGATTGTTATAAGTATATAAGGGAAATGCTGGCCTTTGCTGCTATAGCCTTTCTAGTAGAAAGTTATAAAACTGAAATGATATCACTAAAAAATGAAAGATGTTATTATGTGTAATGCCAAAAAAAAAGCAGTTTCATTTATTTCAGCTGCTGTCAAGATTTTTCTCATTAATTTTCCCGTTTTCTGTACGTAAATTTTACTATAATTAGACCAAATGTATTCTGAATTGTCATTCAATTGGCATTTCCGGGTTGAAGTTACAGATGTTAAGTACTGTTCTAGTAGAACAACAGTTGTAAAACAAAATTCAGTCCTGTATCAGTGTAAAGTCAGAATTTTACTCTCTTTTTCACCTGATCAAGAGATTGAACAGGAAAAAATTGGCCAGTACTGTTGTAGAACTGTAACACTACTGTTACAATGCTGTTTTATTCTGTTTTCATTCTGGAACATAACTAAACTTTTTAACGAAATTTCTATTCATTTTCAAAGTTTTGTTACGTGTCGTTACAAAAGAGAAAAACTCATTAAAATAGACAAAAGTATAACAATTGTGCTAGAAACAACCTAAAAACGCAGTTTGTTTCTGCAAAAACATAAATTGGTCAGCAATTGCAGTGTTTCCTGGAAAAATCAGCGCCAATTTGGTGCATCCCACTTTAATTGGTGGGATGCACCAATTTGGCGCTGATTTTTCCAGGAAACACTGCAATTTCAGAAGAACATTTATTTTTTTAATTTGGTGCATCCCACGCAGCTAAACATCAGCTGAAAACAAGCTAGAGACTCAGTTCTTTTTTGCGAAAAAAAAAGAAATTGGTTAAGCGTTGGTAATTGAAAGGCTTGAGCAAATGAATTTGCCTGGAAACTCGGCAGTTTGTGGTAAAAATTTGGAAAAAAAAACATTTAAAAAAAATTGGTGCATCATCCCACAGCGTAACATCAATTTCATTTTGCAATTCCACTTTATAGTTTCATTTGGCTTTTTTAAATGTTATTGAGCCTAATTCTTAATTGTTTTCAAATGAGTTTTAAAACCGAGAGTTTGTTAAAACCTTTCATTTTTTTCAGAAAATTTTAGTTAAAATCTTCAAAAAGAAGGCCGAAAATGTTTTTGAAATCAGCCAAACCAAATAATTTTCTTAAAGTCACGACGCGGATTTTTTGTATTTTTTGAGATTGTTGCTGTTATGATTTTTTCTGATTCGATTTCTGATCATAAAAAAAAACAGAAAAATATCTCTGATTTTTTGTCTGGCCATAGAACTAAAAAAAATTACAATTTCTGATTTTAGTATGATTAGAGAAGTATAAGAACAAGAACTCTTATTTTATTCTGATCAGAAAACTAGTAGAATAAAAACAGTACTGTAACAACACTGATTCAGTACCGTTACAGTACTGCGGTTTTTTCTCTGATTTATCTCTGATCAGAGATGAATTGCCACTTGCCAGAATCTGACATAGAACTGACATTTCACTAATAATTTTCTGGAGAAGTACTGACTTTCACTGTGACTTCAACCCGTGTTAGTGGAGTTTCCGAAATTGATTCGAAGCTCTCTGAATATCAGCCACAAAATTCATGGTGATCTCAATCTAGTTTTTTTGTAAAACTTTTCGGTTTCATTTCTCATAATAGGGGAGGGGGACCGGAAAGACCCAAAAAATTTAATAGAGTGCGTTTAGTATCATATTAAGACATTTCTCACTCATTGTTCGCCACCATCTGCTTGCTTGATTTTTGTTGGTTTTGATAAGTTCTTAAGTGTTACTCATCCAACCAATCTGCTGCAAGATAGGGGAAAAAAAGGAATCGGGTGATTGTTATAAGTATATAAGGGAAATGCTGGCCTTTGCTGCTATAGCCTTTCTAGTAGAAAGTTATAAAACTGAAATGATATCACTAAAAAATGAAAGATGTTATTATGTGTAATGCCAAAAAAAAAGCAGTTTCATTTATTTCAGCTGCTGTCAAGATTTTTCTCATTAATTTTCCCGTTTTCTGTACGTAAATTTTACTATAATTAGACCAAATGTATTCTGAATTGTCATTCAATTGGCATTTCCGGGTTGAAGTTACAGATGTTAAGTACTGTTCTAGTAGAACAACAGTTGTAAAACAAAATTCAGTCCTGTATCAGTGTAAAGTCAGAATTTTACTCTCTTTTTCACCTGATCAAGAGATTGAACAGGAAAAAATTGGCCAGTACTGTTGTAGAACTGTAACACTACTGTTACAATGCTGTTTTATTCTGTTTTCATTCTGGAACATAACTAAACTTTTTAACGAAATTTCTATTCATTTTCAAAGTTTTGTTACGTGTCGTTACAAAAGAGAAAAACTCATTAAAATAGACAAAAGTATAGCAATTGTGCTAGAAACAACCTAAAAACGCAGTTTGTTTCTGCAAAAACATAAATTGGTCAGCAATTGCAGTGTTTCCTGGAAAAATCAGCGCCAATTTGGTGCATCCCACTTTAATTGGTGGGATGCACCAATTTGGCGCGGATTTTTCCAGGAAACACTGCAATTTCAGAAGAACATTTATTTTTTTAATTTGGTGCATCCCACGCAGCTAAACATCAGCTGAAAACAAGCTAGAGACTCAGTTCTTTTTTGCGAAAAAAAAGAAATTGGTTAAGCGTTGGTAATTGAAAGGCTTGAGCAACTGAATTTGCCTGGAAACTCGGCAGTTTGTGGTAAAAATTTGGAAAAAAAAACATTTAAAAAAAATTGGTGCATCATCCCACAGCGTAACATCAATTTCATTTTGCAATTCCACTTTATAGTTTCATTTGGCTTTTTTAAATGTTATTGAGCCTAATTCTTAATTGTTTTCAAATGAGTTTTAAAACCGAGAGTTTGTTAAAACCTTTCATTTTTTTCAGAAAATTTTAGTTAAAATCTTCAAAAAGAAGGCCGAAAATGTTTTTGAAATCAGCCAAACCAAATAATTTTCTTAAAATCACGACGCGGATTTTTGTATTTTTTGAGATTGTTGCTGTTATGATTTTTTCTGATTCGATTTCTGATCATAAAAAAAAAACTGAAAAATATCTCTGATTTTTTGTCTGGCCATAGAACTAAAAAAAAAACACAATTTCTGATTTTAGTATGATTAGAGAAGTTTAAGAACAAGAACTCTTATTTTATTCTGATCAGAAAACTAGTAGAATAAAAACAGTACTGTAACAACACTGATTCAGTACCGTTACAGTACTGCGGTTTTTTCTCTGATTTATCTCTGATCAGAGATGAATTGCCACTTGCCAGAATCTGACATAGAACTGACATTTCACTAATAATTTTCTGGAGAAGTACTGACTTTCACTGTGACTTCAACCCGTGTTAGTGGAGTTTCCGAAATTGATTCGAAGCTCTCTGAATATCAGCCACAAAATTCATGGTGATCTCAATCTAGTTTTTTTGTAAAACTTTTCGGTTTCATTTCTCATAATAGGGGAGGGGGACCGGAAAGACCCAAAAAATTTAATAGAGTGCGTTTAGTATCATATTAAGACATTTCTCACTCATTGTTCGTAACCTGCGAAAAACCTTCTCAGGGATTTGATCCCCTGCCGACCCAAAGGTACTTTTTAAGAAATCCAATTTTGGCCGACCGACTCTAGAATTTTTCTTAAGGCGCCTTTGGAGCCAATATATACTAACTTTGAGGGGGAGCGCGCGCCAAAAAAAAACGCGATTTTTTTGTCAAAATTTTCCAAAAAATTCCCAAAAACGGCTTTTTTGACTTGTTTTTTCAAAAATTTGCGTGCGGCGCAGAAAATTTGGCCAAATCAAGGTGTTTTTAGTGCTCTAGGAGAGCTCGAAAATCAATTTGGTTGACCTAAAAAAAGGTCGTCAAAATTTTCGAAAATATTTCAAACCCCCCCCCCCCCCCCCTCGAGAAGAAAATCCTAGATCCGCCCCTGCGTCAAACGAAACGAACTTCAACAGAAACGTAACACACTGACACGCTGAGCGAAACGATGAGAGGATCTACCAAAGTTTTTTTTCATTTTTTTTTTCAGAAAACTTATAAGGAACACCATTACTTGTTTGATCCAGCGTAACTTCATTCATCTTAAGTTTCTATTTTGTCCACAGTTTGCAAAAATTTGGAGATTAAAACACAATTTTAAAGGAAGTTTTACGTGGTCGCTACTCTGTTAATTGTTAAATTCAGCTGCTCTTATTTTGAAGTCATATTTAATTTTTCTAACTAAGTAATTCATTATTTCATGAAGATTTAGAACTCTACCTGGGTTTTTCGTGTCTTTAAAGTTCGCGTACAACATCAGCAGACGTTAAAAAGTCCGACTTCACCTCTCAGCTGAAACCTGACTCCTCAATCTCAGCCACAAGCAGCCGACCAGAAACTAGTTCCTCTGATAATTTTGGCAAATGGGTTCCTAAGAAGCTTCCAGATGAATTATTGTCACACTAAACAAGAAGAAAATAAGATGAAACAAAAGAGTGTTGTCGAAAAAAGCAGCAAATACTTCGATCATGACAAAACTCAATTAAAAGTTAAAATCGGCAGATTTTTTCAGATGCAAAAACTGTTCTTTTTAAAAAAAGAGGCGGGGTGGAGTTATCAATTAAGGCAGATTCCTAGAAAGAAAAATGTTAAATATATATTTTTACGTTTTCCGAAGACGTGATCCCGTTTATGTTTGGAAATAAGCTTGTATGTCCGAACGTATTTGCTGCTTTCCATGAGTTTCTTTTCTTTGTTACTTCAATATCCTTAAAACTGACTTCTGGCAAAATTTGGCCGAAACTGCCTCAGCCATTAAACTTGATGTGAAACTGCAAAAGTACCCAGCAACCAAGAAAGCCACTGAAAAAAAACTTAAACATGCTTTTCTGTAACAAAGCTTTTCAC